CGTGAGAAACTCGGTATAGCGGCTGTAGCAACAGCTTCTGTCCTCGCCTCGCCTTTCGTACGCCACGCCAACCCTTTTACGGCACTTTTCTTGCCAGAGACACCGAGACGAGGTATTAAAACTGGCCTTGGAGTCTTTCTCAGACCTGGTTAATCGTCGCGAAAATTTATTCAACCTTTAATGATATCCGAGCGAATGCTAAGCTTTATGAATCAATGAATAACCGATACAAATATAATAGAAATTGCTTAGCAAAATATAGAAATGCTATATAACATATATAATATATATATGTAAATATACACATTTTACATTCATATTACATATTACATTCATTGAGAAAATTTCTGATTAAAAATGGTCGAATTATCAGAAAATTCTGATCATATGAGTCAGAATTTTGATTAGCCCAACTAGAATTATAGATCCAACTAGAAAATTTTGCCCATTTTTAACCAGAATTCCAATTAATGCAACTAGACTTTTTTTCAGTCTCTGTACCAGTTATATTTGATGTTTACTGGAAAACTGTGAGAAAATGTATTGGATTAGTGAAAAAAAAACTATTGGAAAACGAGTATAGTGTACAGTACTCGATTCGAATGATTTTTCAATTATTTCCAATAGTTTTTTTACAAGTCCAATAGTATTTTACCATATAAAGGAAGAACAGGTTTTTGAGATTTTGATATAAACGTTTGAAACGGAAGAGAGAGTGACTCAAAGAAAAAGAAAAATGATATTGGAGAGAAGATTTTATCATGATAAAAGCGCCGATGTATTCACTGATACGAAAAAAAAACGCTTGATTTCTAATAGCCTTGATTTTTGCCGAAGGTTATCGCTTGGTCGCAATTTCGGTTCCTGTATCTTTTTTACAGAAAATATGTCGCTTATTTATCCGTTTCGTGACTTAAATGCATGACGTGTCGGGGCAATTGCAGTGGAACACGATATAATTTTTTCTGAAGATAAAAACTGATAATGTTCGATATGCGATCGATAAAGGCAAAGATGACGGTTATTGTTGCAATAAGCAATTTGCTGCACCGCTGAAAACCCTTTCACCTTCCTACCGCACGTATACCGTAATTCTTTGAAAGTTGTCTGGTTCTCCATCGGTATCATTCGAATAACATATCTATTTATCAATAGTTATTGCAATCAATCCATTAATCAATATTGGGTCCCAATAAGATGAGAAAGATATCGAGAGAATTGGAATACATAACATGACATAAAAGACGTCATCACGTCACGCCATTTCTTTTATATCTGCGGATCATCAATTATTAGAAACTCTAATATTGATCGTTAAAAAAGATCAGATAAGTTTCTCGACTATTCGATTTTCGATCGAATCCACATTGGATGTCTTCTTGTCTTAAAGTTTTTAAATTCTTTATAAAGAAATTTTAAAACTCTGATAACGAGTTTGTGTATCACATACATAACTTAAAGTTCTTTATATTCTTCGTCAAAAAATTTTTAAACTCTGATAACAAAACCATTAAATTTTAATGTCGAGTAATTTTGTATTCCTCGAGTAAAGATAAAAATTAAAGGCATACGGTGTTCCATATTTTCACGTGGGAATGCATGTGCAGGCGGAGCATAGACTGGAGCAGTTAAAGAAGGCGACGGATAGAATACAAAGGGAAATCGAAGAAGTCACCGAGAGGGAACACGAACTGCGGAACGTGGGTAGCATTAAAACCACATCCCACGAGACGGTAGACTTCAAGGTATCTTTAGAATGCTTACACCAAATAATACAGTTTAGCGTCTATATCTATAAAAATCGTACGCGCATCTCTTTTCATTTATAAAAATAAAAATATTTTCGAGTTTCAATTGTCTGAAGAAAACTCATACAGCACAGAATTTTCAGTAATATCGCTGTAAAATCTCTGCAATATTGTTAATGTTGCAGCAGTGTTGCTGCAAACTTTCGTGCAACTTTGTGCTGTAGGAGAAAGATTAAAATGTGAAAATATGTTTAGAAATTGTCTCAAACATGGAAAGATCCACTTTGTATCTTAAAATAATATATATAATTAATAATTTTATTGCATAGGTGCACCGTATGCCACAAGCTCTGGCCTCGGGAAAACTGAAGAGAACAACGTCCACGCCGCAGATACTGGAGACAGTCAGCCCGACGTCGCTGTCGCCAAACTTGACGCCAAAGATGACGAACGGCGTGATATCTACGCGCACGACGCCGACACCGTTGCGCTTCGCAACCACGCCGAGCCAGAAGGGTTTGATGCACAGGTTTCTAGCTACACGGGGAAAACTCTACAAGAGCAAATCGCCGAACGACGACAGTTTGAATTCTCCCATAACGCCCATTATCACGCTCAATCCTCTGAGTATCAAAGTCTTTAACAGAACATTGGAAATACCACTGGAGCCGGACGACGAGCCAAAGAAGCCATTAACGAGGAAAGGATATGTTCCTGTCGAGCAGAAGATTCAAAAAGAGTTACATGACATGAAAGAACGGGAGAACGAATTAAGGTATTAATTGTTTAAGAATAAATTTTGAAATTTATTAATAAAGCGATTTGTACTATTATTATATCTCCAATCCTGTGACAATAATCAATAATACAAATTTAAATAATAATATCAGAAATAGATGATTCATTTAATATCTGATTTTGTTTTGCGATAAATAAAGCATTAAAACGATAAAATATCATGTTATCTAGGCAAATTGCTGCACATTGCAATAAAAATGACGTAAAAGAGTCTTTTCACTTGATTATAACATTTGTAAACTTAAACCGATTCGTGTAAATCTCTTTTATCTTCTAGATTGATGAGATCACAGATGTTGGCAAAGTCTCAGCCGAATCTACTTGACATAGGAAATGATAACGATTCCGATATTTACGACGGCTCCAGTTCTCTTAGAAGTGGCACTTCCACTAATACCTTGAATGAGGATGAAATCGAGAGAGAACATAAAGGAAAACACAAGGTTAGCAATGTTTCTCACTTTTTACGATCAATTATTATAATCAAAATAAATGTTATTAGTTTATGATAAATGTAATTCTTTGGATCGCGTTTGTTGGTTAGTTTTACTAACAATAAGCGATAAAAAAAACCTTTTATTTATAGCCTAATCCACGACGTCGTAACACGCTCATCGCGCAATGGGAGAATTTGATAGCCGCCAAGAGAGAAGTTATTGAGAACAACAACGAAAAAGATAGCTACTTTTGAAAGTTCTACTATTTGCAGATAACAACGTCTTTATCTTTATCCTATCGGTATCCTGTTCTATCCTGAACTAAATGATCGATTGTAAATTAATAATACTTAATGATATTACAGTGGATAACTGTATTGTAATAAGAGCTCATTGCTCCACCTTTCTTAAAGCGTATCTTAAATAGATATTTTCTTGTTTTTTATCTTGTTTATTTATATAGTTTGTTTACGAATGAACTATTTTTTTGTGTTTAAATATTTATGCGCTCTAGTATTAATTATATAAAGTTTAATCCATGTCGCGGCTGCGTGTTTTCAGTATTAAATTGTTGGCTAAATAACGTTATTAAAACGCGACTGCTTAAAATTAAAGAATCTTTTTTAAGAAAGTAGAGCACAGTTTGTTTCATCGTTATTAATGAATTGGATAACATGAATAAAATATGTAAAATATTCTCACTCGCGAGCGACTGAAGTTTTCGTATGTTATCATTTAATATAATTTTGCGGGTGTAAAGTGCTTATTAATATTATAATTGTTAGTTCACTCGATCTGGACGTGTATAGTATTAAAAATATATGTATCAAATATTAATTAGTCGTAAAGACAGGTAAGATATTCGATGGATACCTGCATGTGAAAAATCCAGTTGTAATAATAATAAATAATATTGCATTAATTGCAAATATTTCTTTTGTCATATCTGGCACTTTGTTTAGTTTCTTTATTATCACAGCCCATGACTTTAATAACATTCCAATTTATAATAATAAAGGTATTGTATAATAGAATCTATAATTATAAAGATATTATATAATGTTTGATTTTTATTTTAAAAATAAAAATCTATTGTAGCACAATTAGGCATAACACTAACACAATAATAAACCAATTAAATTTAAATAATTTTTTAATTACTGTTGATCAACGCTCCGAAACTTTATATTGCACTATTACATTAAATTTTATTAAAAAATAGGACGGATGAGACTTAATTGAGAGAGTACAATATCTTTATTCTTTATAATTTTAATGATATATAAAATAAAATTATCGCTAGTTTGCTTTATGCTTATGTGTCTATCACCGCGATTATTTGCCGGTGATGAGAAAGATTGATTATATGTCTTTACTTAATTAATACTTATCTGATCAGTCGTGGATGTAGCAGAAAGAGAATTAAAAAAAATCATAATTATAGCATAAAAGAGAACCACAAAATCATGAATATTATCCATTGAGATGTGTGAGTATTGATTACGTAGTTCAACGTTTTAAGGACATAGAGGCGCTTCAAAATAAAGCCCACCTGTCCACGCGGTATCTTCTTTCGTGTGAAATAAGATCCAATAAAATAAACACAGTATTTTTCCACATATTTATGATTATATTATGACATTATGGCCTCATATACAATCGAAATAGAAAACATAGAAATTACACTTTTACTTAATTTCTCTATAAATAAAGGTATGCGAATTTTTGTTACCACATCATGTTACTGTAAAGTCAATAAATTGCAATAAAATGTATACACAATTACTTTTGAGAGAGAGTACACATATATAGTATATTTCAATATGTAGAAATTCTTCTGTTATACTAATATGTCTTTTTAAAAGAATTATATAATTCTATCTCAGTAATTATTTCTAATTTTAGTTTCAGATTTACCAAATAATGTATGTGAAATATTAAACGGCCAATACGAAGATGTAATAAATAATGAACTTTCTACATTTATCGAGGCAATAAAAAATGGTGATAACTTAGAAGAAATTATACATAATAGTTTATCTGAAACTCATACTCGTGTATCATGGCTGTGTACAGGAGTAGCTTCGTTATTATACTTTGTTCGATGCAATTGGACAGGACCTCCTATTGATAAAGATATTGATTGGTTAAAAACCAGAAGGGCTGAAGCACTCAACCATTTATCCTTGCATGACGGATGTAATATAAATGTACGAAAACCAGAACTTCTTTATCTGTCTAAGAAAATATTTTCTAACGTAGATCTGCAGCTTAAATATAAAAGTTGCATTTGGTGGCTGTTTAGAGCTACTCTGTTGCATCAACATGTTTTAGATGAAAACGCAGGAGTACTGTTTGAAGAAACTGAGAATTTAATAACAGAAATTAATAATCTGAATATATTAGAACATGTTCTTTGTAAGCTTTTATTCAATCTGGAAGCAGCTACATTTTATTTGTACTATAGAAGATCACAAAATTCTGAGAAGCATCTTGAACATGCACAAAAAATAGCAGGCTTGAAATTAAATTTAGAAGGTGCAATGGGAAAACGTACCAAGTATCAACAAGAAGAAAAGCCTCAATTATACCTCAAGATAGAAATGAACGAGGATACTTTTCCTTCGATAGATTGTGAAAATGTACCAAGATCTCTGAATTTAAATGACTTTGATGATTTGAGATTAGACCGCATTGAGTTTTCAGAACATAAAGAAGAGACTAAATTAGGTATGATAGAAGAAGCGATAATTTTAGGAAAATAGTAAGTATAACAATATATTTATACCAGTTATAGCATGTAAGCGTTACAACATAGAGAGATTTTAATAGTTAACAGTGTTCAGTTGCAGCTGTGTCAACCTACATACGAACTTACTGATGAAGAAATCAGGCCTTACCTAAGTGTAAGTTATAATATTAACATTGAAGTTTTCTTTATTATTAATAAATAATATAATAGTTTATTGTTAATAGATAGTATTAAGAAATGTTTTTTTTGTAGAAAGTCATTGAAAGTACAAAAAATTGGTCATTAAAGATGACTTCTTTGTACTGCCGTTGTTCATCGGAGTCTGATAAGAGAACTGTCAATAGATCTATGAAGCAAGCAGAATCTCTAATAAATGATTACAATGATGTAAAAGCACCTACAGTCAGAAGAATGGATTTATTTTTTGCAAGTGGTATGAAACCGATTTGGATGTTGGAGGAGAAGTGGGCTAATCTAATGTTCAGTTTTGGCGACGTAAAAACAGCTCTGGAAATTTTTATAAAACTAGAATTGTGGGAAGATGTGATTGTCTGTTACAACGTGTTAAATTTGAAACATAAGGTATATTTTATATTAAATATATGACAAAAAGTTATGTAATAAATAACTAATGTGGACGCGTTTTCAGGCAGTTGAGATTATCAAGCAGGAAATATCTAAGAAACCAACGGTAAAATTGTGGTGTCTGTTAGGAGATGCAACTGGAGATGTGAGTCATTATGAAGTGGCATGGAAATTGTCCGATGAAAAAAGCAGTAGAGTGCAAAAACATTGGGGATTATATTATTTCACAAAGAAAAATGTTAGTATTTGAGCCACTAACTGCCAAAGTAAACTTTTTATTCAAATCTTAATATAAAATTTATATTTTAGTATGTCGAGGCAATACCACATTTAAAGCTATCAGTTGAATTGAATAACATTCAAGAAGATGTGTGGTTTAGACTGGGCTATGCAGCATTACAGATAGAAGATTGGAAGTTGGCTGCTATGGCATATAAACGTTACTGTTCTTTAGACCAATTTGTATGTACACATATTTTTTTTTATATTACTACTTTCACAGTCGATATATAGATTTCATAAAATTCTTATTCTATCTAAAAATTTCAGGCTTTTGAAGCATGGAATAATTTAGCAAAAGCATACATAAAATTGGGAGATAAAACAACAGCTTGGAAATTTTTACAAGATGCCATAGCATCTTGTTACGATTGTTGGCAAGTGTGGGACAATTTGATGATCGTAAGCATTGATTTGGGACATTTTTCAGAGGTAAATATTATATATGATACTTTTTACAAAAATTCTCTGTCCAAGTATCTAAACCAATTTTAAAAAAAAAAAAGCATTGAAACATTTAAAATTATAAAATATAGTTCATGTATATATATTTTAAAAGTGAATATATATATAATATATATTTATATTTGATATAGCTAAATTTTGATATTAAATATACCTTATTAATAGTTTTAAACAATTTATTTACAGGTTATTCGATGTTATCATCGTATTTTGGATTTGAAAAGCAACCATTTAGATGTCCAAGTTCTCCAGATACTATCAAATGCGATAGTAAATAATATTAATGACGCGAACGGAAATCCAGCATCTCGTTTGCTTCAAAATAGTTTGGAATTATTTGGAAGAATCACTTCTAATGTACTTAATAATCCAGATATTTGGAGAATGTACGCTGAACTTGTCGTATTGAAAAAAACAGACGTTGACGAAGAGAGAGCGGTACAGTATTTACAAAAAGCGTATCGTTTTATCACTTCGAATCCATGGAGTCACAACGAAGCTGCAACTCTAAATGTGCTGGATTTATGTTGTGATTTAGCGCAAGCATATTTACGTTGTACTACTGATATTGCAGTTGTTAAGAAAAGGAAGATGTTAGGAAGCGCTAAATTGTCGCTTCTAGGGGTCGTGAAAAAAGTCAAGGAACAAGAGTGGAGTAATACGAATATCATCGAACAATTAATGAAAGTTGAAGAATACTTAGCGATTATAACAAATGAATTAGAACAAATAAAACCTACTTAATGAGGATATTACTAGAAGAATTCTTTTTCTACAGAACTTTAAAATCAATGATATAATTGATTTTAACAAGATAATTTTACAACAAACAATATGAATACATTTTAAATTCTGTTTCATATGCATTGTATATAATTAATTATTATAATCAATATAATAATATTCTACATGCATATATATGTTAAACTGAAAAGTCAGCATATCACTTTCATATGCTTTCAGCATATATTATTCATAAAAATAATATTTTTATTAGACAGATAGACACACTTATTATAATTTGAACATTTAAATAGATAAAACTCGTTACAAATTATAATACAAAGAACATTTAAATTTATTGCATTTTCTATGTATTGTATATATTGTAAATTCAGTTTCTTAAATTGAAAAGAATTCAGTTTCTAAAATTTTCAAGAAAACCTGTTATATTAAAATTTTTGCAAAAGTAACTTAAATAAAACTTTTAAAGATATACATTTTTTAAATTCTTAAATACATAAAATAGTATATATATATATATTATATTTGCTTTGTATATTAATGTATTATTCTGTAACTCAAATGCATGAGAATGTTTCACTTTGCGCTCCTCATCCTGATGAAGTGAACGGCAAGGTTCACGAACGTTCCCAGACAACAAAAAGTGTCTAAATTCGGGTCATAAGACGTTCTTTGCGTCTAAAAGACGATTTAAAGACGTCTTATGTCACAATTTTAGACTTTGTGTTGGTTGGGTTGGTATTAGCAATGGATAAAAACACGGCGATAACCCGCAAACTTTCTGGTATCTTTGAAGATAATAAGGAGTTTTTGCAATTTATCCAGATACGTTACCTCCTTCTTAATAACTAATTAAAAAAAGGATAACGTGACGTTAGTGTTCACTATATCTAGATAAACGGTATTGCAAAAACTCCCTAATACCCGTGAAAGCCTAAAAAGCGTTATAATTTCACATTCTAATCCAACAGTGTCAAAATTAATAGTCTGTAACATGAAAATTTTTAGTTTATGTATTTTCCAAATTCAAAACTGAGTATTCGTCTTACTTTTATCAATTTTGAATACTTGAGAAAAATTAAAAAATAATAATTTTAATTTTGAGATAAAAATTTTAATTAAAATTCACTATCTCTCTCTTTGAATGTTATATCCTTTTAGAAAAAATTTTATTTATTAATAATAATTAGTAATAATAATTAGTAATAATATAATACCTACATTATCCCCGCATTGTTTTATTTTTTTAAATTTTATAAAGTACTACTTTCCATTTTCGACTCTAAAGAAATTAATCTCTATTATTCCTGCAATGTTCCAGGATCTAATTATACTCCCCTCTCCTTAAGAACGTTCCTTATTTTTTTTTGTTTGAAATAATTCTTATTTTATTAATAACCGCAAATTGGTGCTTTGATTTATTAATAAATAAGATATATATTTCATTCTGTTATTAAAAAAGAAAAATGCAGCAACTTGTCGGTATTTAGGAGCAGGATAAGAAACTAGCAGCATCACTGTTCCTGAATAGAAGAATGGGGCAGAGCGTATAAGGCCCAATAAGGCCTAGTTTCACGACTCACGGTTAACTCTTAGGCCCCTTTCTACCAATATAGTTTAATTTTAATCTCGGTTTAACTAACTCTTCATCTTTTTCCAGTTCTGAGAATTAGAAAAAGATAAAGAGTAAGTTGAATTGAGATTAAAGTTAATCTACGTTGATAGAAACGAGCCCTAGGCCCAGTTCCACAACTCACAGTTAACTCTTAACCGAGGTTCGACTTGTTTCTCATCTCTTTTCAAAAATTAGAAAGAGACAATGAATAAATTGAACCTCGGTTAAGAGTTAACCGTGAGTTGTGGAACTGGGCCTTAATCGAAGTTCAACTTATTCTATAGCTACGTTTACACCATGCGCTTAGTCCGCGACCTATATGATAGGTGTCTTTGTTTAACTTACAGGATAAACAAGGACATCTATTGTATAGGCCGCGGCCTAAATGCATGGTGTAAACGTAGCCATTATTTCTTTCAAAATTGGAAAAAGATGAAAAACAAGTTGAACTTCGGTTAAGAGTTAACCGTGAATTGTTGAACTGGGCTTAAGCTTGCGTTCCGTTTCATGCATGGTGCATCATTTATCCTTGTTACTCACCGAATGTTAAACAAGGATAAATGATGCATTACGCACATCATGAGTGAAATGGAATGTACCTTAGTAACGGAGCGCCAACTCACTTATCGTACTGACGTACTATATATATCGTGAGATATCGTGTATTTGTTATCAATGTGGATTGTACTTTGTTCTCACCTACGCAACGATTTTATCGCTTGACTTTTGTGGATATTGCATTCGTACTATCATACTACCGCAGTAAGTATCCAGGTGGTTATTGAACATCATATTGTTTTACATAATTGGATTGGAAACGATAACCGGTGTATAATTTTCTTTCCTACTTATTTTTTTTCTTCCAGAAACCTAACCCCGTTTCAAAAGCAATATTTCTGCTGATTTATTACGTTTGCAAATACAAATATTATTAATTACATAATAACGACATTAATGTCCATTTCCATCAATGTAGATTAACTTTAATTTCGTTTAACTTTTAATCTTTTTCTAGTTCTAAGAATTTTTTCTAATTCTTAGAACTAGAAAAAGATGAAGAGCAACTCAGATAGCAACGTGTTTGTCTTGTTGCTGGCATATTGCTTGCTAAGTATGTGTTGCTACCAGAATTGCAGCAACTGAGTCCTCATTTGTTGGCAACTTAATGTCTTCACGATATGATAACATTGAGTAGCAACTTGCCAGCAATTTGTCGACAACTTTAAAATCGTCATCATCAAAATTCGTACTATTGCCATAATAATATGCAATATTATACAATGTTGTCACATTGCCGACAACGCAAGGTAATATTGATGTAGCTATCTTGCTGTTAAACTGCTGGCAATATACACATTGTTGTCTACATATTGCTACAATGTCGGTATATTCGAAATCGTTGAAGACAAATCTACAGCAAGTTGTCAGCATTGTAAGCAATCACAGATTTACAAGATTTTGCTGAGACACGCTTTGCTATCTGGGAAATTAAGTTCATCTTTTGGTAAAAATGGACCTGAATTTGCAATATCATTGTCTTAGATCATATAAGATATATGTAGTGCATGATATGTGTTGCAATAGTGAAGAACATTTATTTATTTTAGATGTCTTTCGCGGGAAAAGTCGTCTTAATAACAGGGGCCAGTTCAGGAATAGGTGCTGCAACAGCTGTTCACCTAGCTCAGCTTGGGGCATCGTTGTCACTAAGCGGACGTAATAAGAACAATTTAGAGAAGGTAGCTGAACAGTGTGGACAATCCAAGTCATTCATCGTAACGGGAGAACTAACTAATGAGAGCGATGTGAAAAATATTATCGATTCAACGATCAAGCATTATGGCAAATTAGATGTTTTAGTTAACAACGCTGGAATTTTGGAAAGCGGTAGTATAGAGACTACAAGCTTGGAACAGTACGACAAGTATGTGATTATAAGCCGATAATATATATAAACTTTTATCGATATTGATCAACTGTGTTCTATTTTGATAACACGCTGGTATAATATCAAAACATGTTTTTTTCAGGATTTTCAATGTGAATGTTCGCTCCGTATATCAATTAACAACACTGGCAGTGCCACATTTAATCAAGACGAAGGGCAGCATTGTAAATATCTCTAGCGTAAATGGATTACGATCTTTCTCGGGTTGTCTGGCATATTGCATGAGTAAGGCAGCCGTGGATCAATTTACACGTTGCGTTGCTTTAGAATTGGCACCAAAACAGGTGTGTGTAAACATATAACGGTTTCCTTTTTTAAATTTAATATCGTTTTTAAATATTTGCGTTATTTAAAAATTTTTTTAATGCACTAGGTGCGCGTGAATGCCGTAAATCCTGGCGTTATAATAACAAACCTGCACGAAAACAGTGGAATGAACAAAGATCAGCTTAAAAGCTTTTTCGAGCGCGGTAAAGAAACGCATGCTCTAGGAAGAACAGGCAACGTTTCGGAAGTCGCAAAGACTATTGCATTTCTAGCGAGCGACGATGCTAGTTTCATAACAGGAGCAACGTTACCTGTGGATGGAGGTAGACATGCCATGTGTCCTCGCTAAAAATCTTAAGCCATCTGTATAAATGATATACAGTATATATTATATATATATACTTATATAAAATACATCATATAGCATATATTAATGAGATTACATACAATATTTTTATTCTATTCTACCTGTTTCAAGAACACATTGAAAATATATTTTATATACATGTATGTGTATATATATGTATATACACATACATACATAGATTGTAATTGTTTGTAACCTATTTTCATTAAAAAAGGTGCTTATATTTTTGTATCTACCAAAAAAAGTGAAAATTCTCCTAGCTAGACTATAAGTAGGATAAACAGTACTCAAAACAAAAAATGTAATAACTGAGTTTTAATATCTCCAATTTCTTATAAAGCACATTTCATAAAAAAAAAATAATAAAATTTTATATTAAAATATACAAAGCATTTAAATAAAAAAAAAACCAATATACGCGTATAACGTAAAATAAATGAGCAGAATATTTTAATTAAACTGAAAAACGCATTCTATTTAAAAATTTAATTCATGAAAAGTAATTTTATGTCTGTTTTATAAATATTATATTTTCACTGTGTGGAATTTTATAGAATTATTGAAAAATTTAATTTAGACATTCAGTTGAAAGTCCGTTATAATATCATCATTTAGTTTTTATTTTGCCAACAAAAATGGCAGTATTAATGATTCATGTTATAATAAACACACAACATATGTGTAACATGATATACAGTGTAATGTATAATATAGATTGACGTAAGAAATTTTTATCTATAGTATAATTTACAGCTATATTGTAACTTGTCTGTAAGATGATAATTTACATTGACGAATGATAATAACACACTAACAAGTATAGGTCATATATAATGTATATATATATATATATATATACAACAATAATTTTATTACAAAAGTATTATTTAATATGTTCGCCATTTGCAATGAATCGCAGACAAGCTATTGCATTTTGGCCTAAAAATATATGTAAAATAATCCATTTTATATAATTCGTAAAATGCGATTTTTATGCATAAGAAACGCTTATATATAACGCTAACACTGTAATATATTTTCTTTTTACATTTACAAATTCTTGATCTTCACAGACATATTATAACACTACAACATAATTGTTTTGATAAAAACAACGAAATTTTCGCAAAGAAATTATTTCTTTAAGAATACTTAATATTCTTCTATTCTTCTATTATATTTATACTTAACAGTATAATATTTTTTAATTCTTTCGTATACATATACAAAAAATAGGACACCACAAATGTGGCTAGTATGAAATCTCTATGGGACTTCTTTGCATTTCATTAATAATACAAAAAAGAAATATAAGACTATTTCTCTACAGTCAAAGGTACAACATCCTATCATTGAAATTCGTCCAAGTCTCCTTATTCAATAATATGACTTTGAAATATTCAACGTGTCAGACGATTATCACAACAATTTCCTACTGGAATTATGCACATAGTTTAAAGCAGACGTTGAGAAACATCCCTGTTTTACATCTGCAGATAAGTTTATCCAGATAAAGGATAAATATTTCAGCCTTTACTGACAGGTACTCTGTTATTACTATTGTTTTTAGAATCTACTGCACTTAATGCTATACCTAATTGTGCTGCATAGTATGTCAACATAATGGATACCTGGGAAGTAAAAAAAATCGAACATTATTATACCTTTCATAAAATTATCATATCGTCATCAAGGCATTTTTCAGAAGCACTATGTGAATGTATAGACTACGTTCCGTTATTCAATAATATGGCTTTGAAATATTTTATTCATTGCAAGTACAAAAAATTTGTTATATACATTACATATATTATAGATTTTCAGTACTCTCAATGAACAAAAGGCAGCCTTAATGTACATACCTGAGAATAAGGTAATGGACTATGGAAATAATGAAACCCGAGCAAAGTGTCAGATATGACAAAGCAAATGCTTCCAATGCAACTGCACAACTTAGTCCACGTCCACAATTCCTAATGGATAAAATATAATTAATTCTCTATATTGCATTAATAATATATATAAGAACTATTACTTGCGGCAAAGTTTTTAGATAAATAATAATTTATTGTTAGAGAAGTAAGTGTCACATATTTAAAGGGAATGGAGATAACAGGTATAAAGTTAATTGTTTCTGTAGTTTCTATATTATTACATAAATTTACCCCGAAGAACTGTACTCTTGATATGGCTCTCCATGCCATAGTGGTAAGTAATACTGTATAAATTGGCACTCCTATTGTTAAAACCCCATTTAATCCCGGCATCAAAGCACATATAACTGGAAGCAGTACATTAATCAATTAATTAATGACAGATAGCGATCAATGAAAATTAATACAAAATCGGTTAAAAACACATTCGCAATATTCGTGTTCATAAATCTTACCAATTGAACAAGACATGTACAGTATTACTCCGAGTGTTAAATTAAGGGGTTTGAATCCAAATGCAAATATATACATAATTTGCGCGATAGCAAACATACACATCCCTGCAGTGAAGCAATTAGGCCACACTAATAGTGCGTCACCTATGCAACTAAACACTAATCCCGTTAATATACGCCTGGAGAAGGCATATCTGCAAAGAGATGAGTATTACGTTAGCAACGCTGAAGCAAAAAGATTACCACCGAATAAAATCATCCAGCTTATCGTTAATCTATAGAAGCACTCTACTTACTCTTTGGATAAACTAATTCCGTGCAACAGAACAAAAATAATAAGACTTATTATCGGCAAACATTTAAAACACGCCGTTAATAGAGATGGCTGTTCAGCAAGTAATACAAAATATACGGACACACTTTTAAAGAACGGTACCAATTTTGGCCCAACGCTTTTTATCTGAAATATAAAAATATTATTTTATTATTTATTGCAAAAACTCGTATCGATATGCAGAAACGTTGTAATGATAAAAAATGTATTTGCATGATAATTTTAATAGACCAATTATTTTTCTCTAAAACCACTTGTGCATATAAAATAATAAAAACAATTAGAGAATAAAAAAATTCCACGATAAATTATTCATAATTCAATTTTAATTGCATTAAATTCATAAAGTTGCCTATTTTCATGAAGAAGCAGCTATCTTAAAATAACTTATCTCTAAGTACACAAATTTTTATTTTTATCTAAGTACACAGTTTAATAGTAATAAATGATAAAAAAATTTCGGAAACATCGTAAATTATACGTTATAAACATCTTCAATTATCATTGATTTATCATTTGATATTTCACAATTAGATAATCCAATCAAGTAAACACGTTCATTTTATGGAATAGAATAAAATTTATATCTACTCGCACAGGAGTTGAGATTAATTCTATTTTTTTAAATTTGTTGATAAATGGCGATTACAAATTAATTTTTAATTTATAATCACATTATTATTAACAGCAATTCAATACGATTATTGTAAAATTCTTCATATTTATATATTTATTAATGTTTACAGCATATTAATTTTTTACAGAAAAAAATAATTATACATATATAACTATTTCCAAAATATATTCAAATCTATCTAATGATAGGGCATGTTTGAATGAGATTTATCCGCAGTCACTGAGGCCTAATCATCGACCTAATCCAGCCAGTTACAAGATAGTACATTATCTAATACTGGTACCGTCAGGATGCACAATGGTCTTTGATACAGAGCAATCACTTTATGCCAATACAGTAGTTTTCTCTAATAGCACTCTATTGCAATGATTGCATTGAATTGATATCTTTAAGATATTTCCAGCAAGATACACGTAACGCGGAAATTCTGGGTTCTGGCTGTTTGTAATTTCCGTTCGTATTTTGTGATTCATTAATGTTATATGTTGCAATTTAATGATTAATAATTTAGTTATTTGAAATGGAATTTGGAAAGGAATTAAGTTTACAAAACAAGAAGAGTTTTAATTTACAAAACAATGCAAAATTATTAAAAAATTATTACTTATTACTTACTATTAATTACTTACTAATTAATACTTAATTATTATATATTTTTCAATTGCAAAATATTAAATGTATTTATCACGTTTATATAAATTGTAGATATAATTACATACAGAGCTTGAATTAAAATTTTTATATAGGCACAAAAAATGTTTACTGTGAAATGTAAATACGAAATGTATGCAAATTATAAATAATTATCTATATCTTCATCTAATCTTTGTACGGACTTATAAAAAAACGATGCGTCCTCTGTTTTTGCATCCAAAGAAGGATGCAAATCGTTTTAATTAACATAATTATAACCGCGTGCCTACAATTCCGGAGAATTGCGAGTATTATATATTCGCTGAAAATTAGACGACTTCTCTCAAAATAATTCTTTCCGTAAAGTACAGTTGTTGTCTGCGCTCCGATAATTTTCCGCGTATACAATATAACACACTTTTGACGTACATGTCACGACGTAAGTATACGCAAATCGAATATTTATCTTTCAGTTTCAACCACCACGCGAGTGGTTACTTGGATTAATTCAATAAATTCTATTTTTACGCGAATATGCCGCTCGCGTTCTAACAAAGGGGCAGAGTATAAGGAATACGTGATTCATACAAAAGGGGAAAACAAAAAACAGCAGCAGTAGCAGCAGCAGCAGCTTCTCTCGATTTAAATCGAACGGCGATAGTGCGGCGAAGGCGGCAATTGAGACGATTTTAATTTAATAAAAAATAAATAATAAAATAAAATAAAACCAGCGAGTGTTTACAGAAGGAGGGTGATATATACGTCCACCTTTATCGGCGTGAACCGTCTATCGCAACCACGTCTTCTTACCACTTGTGTAGGCGATGACATCTTCGGTTGAAGGACACCAAAGGGGCGCGGGGTGGTCGGGGAGGGAGCAACGCCGCAGCAGCCGCCTGTGTCACTCCGAACCGTCCGCCAAGTCCAACCGACCGAGACCGTGAGAGGCCCCGCGAGTGTGCTGATGGCTCGCAGGCTCCCTGTTTATTTATATGACCGCTTTTCGACGCACCACTCACACGCATGTATATACACACACACATACACACACATACACACGTGCGCATCGCGCGCCCTGTCACCGGGGCACTGTGTTGTTGGTGCACCCCACCGCCGATCACATCGCCCAGGGCGGCCAACCGGCCGACGACCAATCACCAATTCCGTCGGCACTTCAGGCCAGGGCTGCGCGTTCGAAAATAGAATTTAACCACTTTCGTATGAACTTCGCCAACAATTGTTTTAATTCTTAAATGATTTATGAAATCGTTTCTATAGAGACTTTCACAAGATGTAATTAAAAAGTAAATATAATAAGAATTTTGGAAAAATATAATTAAAAAAGTTTGACATAGTCATCTAGAATATTTTAATTAATTAATTTAATTTAGTTGATATAAATATAAAGTACACAAAGTTTTTTAAATCGATTGTATTTTATTTATGAAAAGTCTTGAAGTATATAATTTAAAGGATTTTGTAATCGTTTGGATATAATTTAAATTAAATATTTTTGAACTTATACGTAAATAGTCGGTATATCAAGTTTATTCGTATAAAATTAGTAAACAATGAATTACTTCTTAAACTATTTTCTTATTAAATTATTTATATTTCGTACGAAGACTTTTGAAATATAATTAAAAGAATAATTTTAACTAATCAGTTATTTTTGTACTATGAAGTTAACCGATATAGCTGATTAATTAAAACTATCTCGATCACTGTCGAACCATTTTTAATTGCATTTTAAAAATCTTCGTACAAGATATACAAGTAATGAAATAATTCATAAGAAAGTTGTTTACGAAATCATTCATTTGTGATAGTCATTTTTTAATTAATCGTAATTTAAATTAAATATTTTGCAGTTTTTTTCTATTAATGCTGGAGTCTCTCTCTCTCTCTCTCTCTCTCTCTCTCTCTCTCTCCCATGAGACGTATTTGCCGCGTATCACGTAACCGCGTAACCAATCAGTAATCAGTAAGACACGAAATCACAGCAGCAGATCGCTTTTGATTGGTTGCGTTCAGCAGACTCAACAGTTTTGCAACCGTTTTATGATTGTCTGCTGAGATAGGACCATTCTTCTAGATCTAAAAGTATGATCCAATTAGCGCGAAGGAAACTTCCAACAGTTGCAAAATAAACGTTCTGCTGAACGCAGCCATTGATTACATGGTTATGCTGGATTCACACTGTATCCGATTTTCGTCGTACGACGCTCCGCAACCAATCAGAAAACAGGATTCCGATGAATTTTGCTTCGTATTATTGGAATCCTGTTTTCTGATTGGATGCAGAGCGTCGTACGACGAAAATCGGATGCAGTGTGATTCCAAGATACGCGGAAAATACGCCTCATGCCTTCTCATGGGACTCCAGCATAAGGCCGGAATCAAACTACGCATTGAATATTGAGATTAAAGATTGAAAGATTGAAAGATTGAAATTTGACCAATCAAAACAATAGGAGATAAAATTTCTTTGTTCTCACTGGTCAAATTTTAATCTTCAATCTTCAATCTGAATCTTCAATGCATAGTCTGATTTCGGTCTTATGCCCGTGTCACACTACGCATTGGAGACTGAGGATTGAAAATTGAGGATTAGAATTCAGCCAATTAGAACGAAACGGATTAAACTTAAAATTACCTGATTGGTCGAATTCTAATCTTTAATTCGCAATCCTCAATCTCCAATGCGTAGTGTGACACGGGCATTACTCCGGATCTACAATAGGGTTTTAAGCCTTAAGCCATAAAAAATGGGCGAATTACAGTCGATTATTCTCCTATAATAAGGAAGTTAGAATTCTGAATTGATCAATTGGCGACGTGGACAATCCGGTGTCATTTATGCCCGTGTCACACTACGCATTGGAGATTGAGGATTAGAATTTGACCAATTCAGGTAATTTTAAGTTTAATCCGTTGCGTTCTAATTGGCTGAATTCTAATCCTCAATTCGCAATTCTTATGGTGAAATCACACGATGCGGAAAAAGATTGCGGAATAGAGAATGCGTCATTGAAGCAACCAATCAACGCTATTCAGCGCTATTCGGAATAGCGCTGATTGGTTGCTTCAATGACGCATTCTCTATTCCGCAGTCTTTTTCCGCACCGTGTGATTTCACCCTTAGTCTCCAATGTGTAGTGTGAGGCCGGAATCTACGCATTGAATATTGAGATTGAAGATTGAAAAATTGAAATTTGAACAATCAAAACAATAGGAGCTAAAATTCCTTTATCCTTACTGGTCAAATTGTAATCAATGGCTGCGGTCAGCAGAACGTTTGTTTTGCAACTGTTGGAAGTTTCCTTCGCGCTAATTGGATCATACTTTTAGATCTAGAAGAATGGTCCTATCTCAGCAGACAATCATAAAACGGTTGCAAAACTGTTGAGTCTGCTGAACGCAGCCTTTAATCTTCAATCTCAATCCTCAATGGCTACGTTTACACCGTGCTCTTAGTTCGCGACCTATACGATAGGTGTCTTTGTTTAATATACAGAATCAAAGACATCTATTGTATAGGCCGCGGCCTAAATGCACGATGTAAACGTAGCCAATGCGTAGTCTGATTCCGGCCTGACACGGGCATTACAAGACTCATAAGTCTGTTCGTGTTGCTTGCACTTTCTGTAATCAGAATCTTTGCTTTCTCTCTCTCTCTCTCTTTCTCTCTTTTTGTCTCCGATGCCCGAATATATATTTATCTCATCTTACAAAAATTGTTACACCTCAATGAAATTTGAAACAATATGAACAAATTTCATATTAACGAGTGTTTTACTCTGTTTTTTTAATTTCCCTTCGGATAAAGGGAAAATTTAAGACGCTTTCAATCTTTCCTTTTGATCTTTTGGCAATTCTTTACGCTGGATATTTCATTGATTAGTTTCTTTAATTTTAAACGTACACATTTATGGATAAGCCTTTAAGCCGGAATCAGAATACGCTTTGAAGATTGAGATTGAAGATTGAAAAATTCAAATTTGACCAATCGAAATGAAAGGAGTTAAAATTTCTTTGTCCTTGTTGGTCAAATTTCAATCTTCAATCTTCAACCTCAATCTTCAATGCGTAGTTTGATTCCGGCCTTATGCCCGTGTCACACTATGCATTGGAGACTAAAGCGGGGAGCACAGACTTTTGCATAACGCATAACATGTAATGCATAAGAAATTTAATCAATCAGAATTCTTTATTTCATGGAAAGGAAGGAAACGGAGGGCTTTGATTGGTACATTTTCTTATGCATTACGTGTTATGCGTTATGCAAGAGTCTGTGCTCCCCGCTTAAGGATTACGAATTGAGGATTAGAATTCAGCCAATTAGAACGAAATGGATTAAACTTAAAATTACTTGATTGGTCGAATTCTAATCCTTAATTCGCAATCCTCAATCTTCAATGCGTAGTGTGATACGGGCATTAGGAAAGTTAACAAAATAAAATCGATTTCGCTCAAAAACAGCGATTCGTATTGGACGAAGAAAATCGAATTTAAAATCGAAATTGAGTTCAACTCTCGGAATCAAACATGGCAACCCCTTAGTGTTTACTACAATAATTTACTTTTTTGTAATGAAATAAGCAGAATTAAACATTTAATGTCTATTTTTCGATATTTTTGTGCCATATAACCTGAAAGGACAGATTGAAGGCACTCTTCTATCGTTATCTGACGATACACGGCAAAAAAAAAATTTTTAGCTGTAAAATATTCTAAAATAACGTAACAACGAGATGGCGAACCGTGTTAATTTCACGTTAAAAAACCTATTGACATCGTACAAGAATTGGATCGTAGCGAATCCGCAATTATTAACAGACATCGAGGCTACCGTCAGATGTTTATCATATTTCAGTTTTGGTTAGTTAACGAGCCATCGAACTTTATTGTTACGTTCCGCTACGATACGTTACTAAAATGTATGTTCTTTGCAGGACAATTGCGCAATTCGACTTTGGTCGTGGAATTGATTTATTCCATGCCAAATCTGATAGTCCTCTGCAACGATTTGCTTATGTACAGCAGTAAACGCCAGCACTTGAAAATACCTCAGTTTGACTCCAAGATAAAAATTTGGTTGACCGTGGTGGAGTACACTGAGACTTTTCTCGAGGTATCAGCTAAAAAATTATGGGGGCCAAAAGGAAAATGGCTAATAATTGTAATTATACAGTTATTTAAGTGAGTATTGGGCCATTCTTTCATTTTGGCGATAAATTAACCTTTAGACTGCTGGCAGTTTTTCGTTAAAATAGTGGTTTTTTCTCGAAATTTTTTTTATATAAGTAACATACCCAAGGTGCAGAATATCGAGATTTGTGCAGAGTCATAAAAGTGGTTTTCCTAGCAAGGAATATACGATCAAATAAAAAAAATTTTTATTTTCTCAAAAATAGTGTATTCCAGAATTCTTGATATTGCTGATTCCAATTTTGAGCATAGATTTAGGAAATCTCGAATCCTAAATGTAATATTGACAACATGAATGAATATAAATGTATAGACTCGTGCAGAGAACTTTCCTTTAGCATACCCAGAGTTAACAACATAGTCGTAAAAGGTTTATACCTCCTTTTTAACATTTCTTTTTTGTTTGGTTCTTAAACTCATTTTTTATATTTTTTTTACCTTTTTCTTGTTTTATAATTTTTTTACTTTTTTATGTTTTTTACTTTTTTTGTATATTTTTCAATACTTATATATTTTTATATATTTTGAGCAACATACACATATATATGTTTAATACAGTTAGTATTTAAAGCCACCAAAAATGGTATTTTAACCCACATTCGAAAGCTACAAAAGTGACTTTCCCGACAGTCTAAAGGTTAATAGCGAATTCAGTCACTTGTATTACAGTTATGTTCATTTCTACTGACAGATTAATTTTAATCTTGTTTTACTTTTGTTTTTTCTAATTCTTAAAACTGGAAAATGATACAAAGTTAAATCAAAATTAAAGTTAATCTAAATTAGAAATGGACAAAGCCTGTGGTTCTACCAATGTAAAGTTAACTTTAATCTCGGTTTAATTTATTCTTTATCTTTTTCTAGGAATTAAAAAGAAATAAATAGTAAGTTAAACCAAAATTAAACTTTAGATCTAGTTGTTTCATCTTTTGGTAAATTTTATTCATTAGGTAAATAATAAAATTACACAATCACATGTACACAGATTGCCAGATTTACCTATGGTTAAAATTTACCAAGAAGTGGAACAACTGGCTCTTAATCTTACATTGATGGAACTGGATTTTAGTCTGTTTTTTATTCCTATACTTGACACTGCACTGAAACTATTTTCTCACTTTAGCCAAACATCAAATTATACATATATTTTACTTTAAGTTCCAAAAATATATATCAATTCAATTCTAAAAACAGATCTTATAATATTGTATATTAAAACTGAGCTGTCATGAAATTAGTAAAGTTAAATGTAAAAACATATAAATATTAAAAAAATTAAATATCCAATAATGATATTGTCACATCATTTAACAAAATATGCATTATTCACTAGTATTATTTCATTATCAAAATTAATTATATTATATCACATTTAGATACTTTATATAAAGCAGCCTTTAATGTGTGCTAATCCAGTATAATATAGACAAAATTCATCAAGTCTCCTTGTTGACCAACATTTATTCTTCCTAGGTCTATATTGCGACTGCTATTAATTTATGTATATAAGGAACGTATAACGAAAAGCCCAGCGATACCGCCTCTTAACAGAGAGAAATTCAATAAAATCGACAATGTGCAATTGAAGGAAGGCTTTATGCTGAAAAGATCGGGCACCGTTGTTAGAAGTGTAAAGTATTCGACTCCTATAGAATTACGAACATGGAAAGCTTTGCCTCCTGTCATAGATGAGAACGAGAATCTAACTAAAATCCAGGAATCTGACAGGGATTTTAAACTAGCTGAGGTTAGTTAAAAAATATAGTACTGTCATATGGTTAATGATTTTAATATAATATCTCAAAAAAAAGTATCTCAATTTATACTGGAATTTGTCAAAGTCAAAGTATTATTATTATGAATCTTATCAGAATATATGTTATGGGTGAAGTTGCTGTATAATGTCAGCATTGCCCATGGCATGTCAGCATTGCACAACTCAATCACATTGTGCAATGCTGACGTTACCCAGGCAATGCCGGCATTGCACACCATGCGGATTTCGTCCGTAACATGCTAATATAAAAAAAGACACAGGTAATAAAATATTTAACTTCTAGAGTCTTTATGTGGCAAAGCCACTGCTTCATCTAGGATGTATGAACATTAGCCAAAACCATTGGCCATCGTGGATATTATCACTTATTATCGATATAGCCAGGTACACAGCATATTGAACTACTATACATAATTGATAAATTGTGATATTTTATGTAATCGAATTGTTATTGTTTATGCAGTTTAAATGTCTTCAATCGTTGCGCCCGAAAAGCATTATTAAGTAAGGAGGAAGAAGAAGAGCTTGTGCGTCGAAGATTGGGTTTACTGTTGTACATTTTGAGATCGCCGTTTTACGATAAGTACAGCCGAAATAAGATAGATGCACTGCTTGATACGATATCTAATTCCGTGCCTCTTGCCAAGTATTTGACAAGTGCCGTTAAAAAGAATTTACCATATATGCAAAGTACATATTTTTACCTGTGGTCGCGTTAACTTACTAATATAAGCTCGCTACGAGAAATGCATAAGTTAAATTATTCATAAATACGAAAGCAGCATAATCTAAGCATTCCAATTTACTACTAATTGGAAAATTATCGAGAAAGAGACTAATGTTATTTTTGTATTTTTCTCTATTATTATATATTGTTCTGGGATGAATTTAAGCGATGGTGTTTATGATTGTTCAGTATATTTTATTAATTTATAAAAATAAATTATATGAAGATCATATAGAAAAGTCATTTTTTTCCTTCAATAGCCATTAATTCGCTCTGATTAATTTATTAGCATTCTGATTAACTCTAGCATGTAAGAGTGAAGTAAAAAGGAGGAAAACTGTATTTCTCGAGTATTTCGACGAATTTTCCCGATTTCTGTCACAACTTTGCACAATTTGAATAATTTTATCATGATTGATAAATAACTTTAATGTATTTTTTTTATTTTTATCAAGCTGAATTTTTTAAAGACTAAACGGTTTAATAAATTCAGCTTAATAAATTTTAATGCTAAGACAGATTATATATCAGTTTTTTGTGATTCACTTATAATGATTCTATGTTATAACATTCATCGTTTATGTAACAATCCTTTTATCGTAAATATCAGATAGGACAAATTGTTACATCACCATTTGTGGTACAATATTTTCTTACAACAATGTATTTTAATATTTGAATGAGATCAGCGATGCGTGATTCATGATCTGCTCGCACCAGTAACTTCTATTTATTGACCTTCATTGCTTAATTGTCAATAAAATGGGGATGGCCTTCTCTCCGCGTCAAATGAATGCGCGGTTGTTTTGATCCTCTGAGAAAGACCGCTGAGCACTATTACAGCGCACGTGCTATGGATTATTACACGTAATTATGATCGGAAGTGCTTGTCTATTTTTTTTTCACGTAGTACCAGATATTTTACACGTAACAGTTCTGGAAAGCCCACCGAGTGTCGTTTTTAGCACGCCGTGAAAGGTCATGTATTATATCTCATCCGGCTGGATGCACAAGGTAATATGTTCCTCTGAAAATTATGAAAAACGGAAATGTACCGCTTCTCAACGCGCTGATGCATTTGTGTGTACATACATATAAATTTCGTAAGTTAAACTCCGTGTTTTATTTGTTGTGAGTCAGTTTCGTTGACAAGAGTGTATACTATGTATTAATTTATTCTCTCTTTGATCTCTGATTTTCAAGATGAATAACGTCTTGCTGTTTGTACTGTTATGCCAGTTATTGCAAACGTTTGTTTTTGCACAGAGTATGTATTATCTTGAATATATATTTATATATATATACATATATACCGCCCATTTGTCACAACGTCATTTTATTAATAAGATCAAGTTTTTAAGAAAATGAATCTAAATGTTTCAAAAAAAAGATTAAAATTTTGTAATGACTTAAAAATGCAATTTTGGTGAAATAACTGATTATAAAGGAACAAAAGTATGTTTTTTTCCTTTGTGTTTTTAATCTTTTTCTGTAAGCGACTAAAAAATGACAATTTTTTAATTAAGTTGTTGTAACAAATAAGCGATATTATATTGCTATAAAACTTGAAAAATGTGAAATATTAATGATAAGCTACAAAATCTTACAATAAAAAATAAAAAAATAGCAGAGATAATGAAAAAATTATTAATTGCGTGAAAAATATTAATGATATACCTGAAAAATTTACAGTAATTTAAATGGTATCAAAGAATTTGTAAATAGAAAAACATTTCTTAATTTATAACATATTTTTAAACCACTACATCAATGTTTCTTGGTTTTATTATTTTCTATAGATGCATGTTTGTGCTCTCCTGGAACTACCTGTCCCAATGGCTATACTGGTGGCATTGACATCAGAGTAGTGAATCCGGTAATATATTTCAGTTCACATTGAAGAAAATACTATAATAATATAACTCATTTGAAATATTTACATTTGTAGAAAATTTAGAATTATCTATTCTACACATAAGTTTTGTATTAAAAAAGTAAATTACTATTTTTACATAAATATATTTAACAATCATTGTACAGTATACCAATATACTATTATATTTTATATATATACAATATATAAAACTACAGTTTTATACTTTTATAGGGAACTTCTTGCTCTACTGGATATACATATTGCTGTCCAATCGACGATGACGACGATGATGACGATGATGACGATGATGACATTCCTTGTGGATATCGAAGAGTTGAATATGCCACGCCAGCGGGACAAGCTCCTTACGGTGCATATCCTTGGATGGTGGCCATTTTAACCATCCAAGGTACTTATATCGGAGGAGGAGTGCTTGTCAGTCCAATACATGTTCTTACTGTCGCTCATAAGGTGGCAGAATATGAGTAAGTTAAAAATTTAATATTAAATTGTAAAATTAAATTTTTGAAGAATATACCTCTTAGATCCGGTTACACTAACAATTAAAACTCTATTTCTTTCTCTCTTTTGACTTTATAAAGAGAGAATTTTAAGCCTCGCTTAAAGTCAAAGTAACGTTAGTTCAATCGGGCCTTATAATAATATCTTTTTATAAACCTTCAAAGGGATTAATTTCTAAAATTCTATAATATGATACAGATTTTTAATATCTTATTTTCTTCATATATGTATATTAAAAATGTGTTACAGTGTTGGCGAGATTATAGCGAGATTAGGCGAGTGGAATTTTAATTCTCAAGCTGAACCTTATCCGACTGTAGATATCGGCATCTCACGAATTTCCTTGCACCGTGAATTTAATTCGAAAAATCTCCAGAACGATATAGCAGTGCTTAGATTGAATTCGCGTGCTCCTATTGCATCTAATCCTAACATTAATACGGCATGTTTGTCAAGTCAAACAGTTAGTCCGGGAACAAGGTATGTATGGATATTTTGGTCTAGTTACTTTTAATTCTGTCTACATTTAAATTCTCTTCTATCAACAAAATACATAATCTACCCTCTATTTTGTATTGCAAATATATTAATTTTTGTATTATCGTTTTGTTAAGGCCCCTGAGTATCAGCCAAGAATTCTGCATTGACGGTAGCGATACAGAATCAGACGGCAGCCTGGCGAAACAGATAGCCACACATACAAGCACGAGCCCATGTACACCCAACTTTCCCTCGGTTACTTTTTAAAACTTCCTTTTTAAAACTTTTCAAAAATTCAGGTTTCATCTTTACGTTAAATTTAGTTATAAGCAGACGTAAGGTATAGGCCAATATTACATGCGTCCATTTTTTATCGTACGACGAATTTTTCAAGCGTGGCTATAAGACAGAGAAGATCTCGGATCTCTTTGTCCTATAGCCAATCGACAGGCTTGAAAATTTGTCGTACGACGAAAAATGGTCTTAAATTGGCCTTAATCGAGTCGTTAATCGCGCATGGACTACGAGCATGTAAAAAGGTGGTCATTTCTTGTGAAAATTTCCAAGGGAAAGAATCGAAATCCTTGGGTGGCTTTCGGCGCGCCGAACACATGTATGTATATGGGCTTGTGCTTGTGTGTAGAATGGGTATAAGAGAGTGAAGCCAATGCATGTTCCTATTGCTAATTGGTTCTGCTATTTTACGATGAAACTATTAGAAGAAGACATTAAAAAAAAGAAGAGATTAGAACGAAGAATTACATTATAAATATCTGTCGTAAAATGGCGACTTCCGACTTATTGGAATTATTGGGCGAGTTCAAAACGACAAAGTAGCTAGGCATGCTTACCGAGCGATTGAATATGATTGGTTGGATCTATAAGTAACAACCAATTATGTTCATTTGCTTGGCGAGCAGGCTAGCTGCTTTGTTAACTTGAACCCATTGGCTCCACTCTACTTATATCCACTCTATTTGCGTGTGTATTACAGTGCTTCGCCACGATAAATCACGAAATAGCTGAACTTATAGGCGCGGAAAAGTGACGTTTTGACGACGAAATTTGTGTTGCATGCCATTTCGTTATTATTTGTTTAATTGTGAAAATGTGATTTGTCTCGTACTTATGACAATCCTAAAAATGGACGGAATCTACAGTTATATTTTGGAATTTTATACATAAAAGTGTATATTTCACTCGTTTCAACAGCTGTCAGACTGTTTCTTGCCAGGAAAAAGGCTCACTTTACGTTCCTTTTACGATTATTTACTGACTGTCAAGGGAGGAAAAGACAATGTTCGTCGATTTTTACAAATGTTTCAAAGCGATCTCATCATTTAGATTTATCCAAATTGTCTTTACAAATGGCATGTAACATAAATTAACGTGTCTTAGTCCTCGCTTCTAACATCATGATTCCAACATGGCCGCGGCGACTACTCAGGAGCCTTAATAAATGCTGAAATGTCCCCCCATATGTATTATAATTTTATAAATACGTCGCGATTACCTAATATTTCATTTTCAATATTTTGAAGGTGTTTGATGTCAGGCTGGGGAAAGAATAACTTTAACGCAAACTCCAGACAAGGTTCTCTAAAAGAGGTAGAATTGCCCGTGTTGAGTCAGACGACTTGCCAAAATGCCCTTCGACAGACGCGATTAGGAACCAGCTTTGTTCTGCACGACAGTTTCATGTGCGCAGGAGGGCAAACGAACTACGACGCATGCACTGTAAGAAATATAACATACTGCCTTTTGCAAAGTAATGAATATTGCATAGCAATCTGAATCACAAAGTTATTTTTTTAATAATTTAACGTATTCATTAATTCTAACACTATCACTATGAATTTTCTTTAAAGGACGATGGTGGTTCACCGTTGGTGTGTCCAACATCAACCGGTCAGTATCAAGTTGTTGGGTTGGTGACATGGGGAATAGGTTGTGGAAATAGAGGAGTTCCTGGTGTATACACTAGTTTGTCTTATTTCCGTTCCTGGATCTCGCAACGATTGAATTGAAAATATACAGCACAGTATCTTAAAAAAATTTGTAACTTATTAATGTATAATCAATATAAAGTATCTTTCGAGATAATTGTCACAGTACTTCCGAAATTGCAGACTATTGTACAAGGAAAAATTATACATGAAACAACAATTAATATGTCTTGTAATTTTCTTTTATAATTGCTTAAATCTATAAGAAATACATAAAAAATATACAGACTTAACATTTAAGAATTATATGGAGGAAAGATTATATAAACATAACGAAGAGATTTGGTACTCTTGCTTATAAATTTGCGTCCTATCTTATAAATTACGTATTACAATCAACGCAATAAAAATTACATATAAATAAAGAGCTTCGTAAAGTGGGATTTTTAAAAAACCGCACTGTCAAATCAATATACAAATGAGATTTAAAAAATACTTAACTTAGATTACATATTTTATGCGATAAATTATGCATCAGTCGCAAAATCTAATTTTGAAATTTTTTCTAAGAAATTTATAGTAAAAATTCGAAATTTTATTATTTATATCCAAGCATATAGAGCGTATAGAGCATCATATAACGTAATATATTTGGTATTAATATGCCTTTGGATTTTAATTTTTTATCATGTATTTTAATTATTTACTCTAAGTAAATTGATGGCAAAGATGAGAAATTGACAGATTATTCGTCGAACTATTTCAGAAAAAGAGGAAAAATTTTTTAATAAATTTTAATTTATAAGATTTCACGAATGTATTAATTTATCAATTATAAGCAATTGCCATAATATGTCATTCAACCACTGCCATCAACTGTGATATTAATGAATTTTATGTAGATACATATTTATTGTATATTTGTACAATAAATCATAACGCATCTCGCGTATTTTACTATGGAGGTAGATATATTTGATAATGCAATGAGAACTCAGACAGTTGGTGCATTAACGTGAGTGTGGGGAACTTGGACGGAGTGAAACGATGTTGGATGCGAAGCGGGCAGTGATAATAAGTGTCCACGTTCCATTTCATTCACTTCTTGCTGCTCCGTTCCTCCTATAGAGCCTGTCGAACGTGCCAAGCTATTACGCTGTCTGCACATGTACGGCGTCTCTCCAGGTGAAGGAGTCTCACGACCCTGTATTATAAAAGTTATTGTCTATATAAATCTTTACAAATCTTATTAGTAAGGCTAATGGACAAGACAAAACGTGAAAGAAATTAATTTTTACAAGAGAGATGTTTGTCATAATATGTGTTAATTAATACGTGTAACATTTCTCTTTTATCTTGTTAGTCAAATACAAATATAAAAATAGAAGTTTATCTACAATTTTGATTTCGTATCATTGATTACATCTTACTGTAACTTGGTTTTGAATTTAGGTTTAAGTAAATACTGTGAATTTGAATGCAAAATTAGTTAATTTTTCAAACAATTAAAATCAAAATTGAAGTAAGTTCGTTGAAGCACAATGCTTTTTTTTCTTTTACAAACAAATATAACTGTACTTTCAAATGGATGAAGTATAGAATTTAGGTTCCCAGACGTAGTAGACAAACTATCGCGATCTATAGTCATATTTGATTCTGATTTTATTCCATCTAAGCTTCGTCCGAAGTATTTTGAACTAGGGTACACAGATGGAGGACTTATATCTCTTTCCATGCTATACTAAGAAATCGAAGAATGTACGGATGATGAATGATGCAAGGACACGAAATTTATGATACGGTACTTACTTGTTTGGAAGGACCACAGCACGTCGCGTGATTGCATGGCTTATCAGTCTTTGGACAATCCAACACGCAATCTTCTGTGGGAGTCTCTTTAATTTCGCTATTAGAATGATACTAGAATGATAGAAAGATATTTTTAATAAAAGTATCTAACAACAAAAATAATTCAAATTAGAGTCAATCATAAGCCATGATTGAAACGTCGTTTATCTGTGAGTCGCAAATAGTTTGGTGAACATTCATCTTACGCATCATTAACTTTGAACAAACGATCGTTAATTTCGCATTAAACGTACATGTGACTCATAGACTTCTTAATCATATCTTACCAACGTAGATAAAAAAATATTAAAATGCATTGCTCGGAATAACAAATTGCGTGCATTTTTATCTAGTTTTTTGCATAAATTTTTCTGTCTAATTCTGTTTTGTTTAGCGTACGTACAGGAACAGATTTTTTAATATTATTGTGTGTGTGTGTGTGTGTGTGTGTGTGTGTGTGTGTGTGTGTGTATCTACTTACGTCAATAAATTCTGGTTGAATAGTCGTCGAGTGTATACCCTCGTTATGGAAAAACTCCTTAACTTGTTCGGCAATTTTCATATATTCTGAAAGATTTCTACATCTTATATGTGCACTAGCTATAATACGATCACCCGCCAATTGCCACACATGGAACTCATGTACAGCTAATACGCCATCTATATTCTCCAACAAACGTTGCTGTATAGCATCGACCTGTACAAATAAATTTACAAATCAGATAATGTATATCATAAATACGTACATGTTACTTTAAAAATCGTGCATTACATACTGCATTATACAAGCCAACAAATATTACCTGAATGTGTGTTGGCACAGTCTGCAATAGAATTAAAGCTGATTCTTGAAGTAACGGCCACACTGAACGCAGAATAAGAATGACTAATAAAAGCGACAGTGCAGGATCAATGTAGAATCTATGTAAAAAAATTTTTTCAATTATATGTTCAAAATTCTTCAACATCTATATACGTGGGTGGTTCAAGTCAAACCGGGACTTTTATTCTCATGAACATAAGAATAAAAAAGGTTTGACTTGAACCATCCTCGTAGAATGTATAGGAATATGTAATATATAATTACCTATACTTCCAATTCGTTAGCCATACAATTAGAGCAGACACAATTACAATGACAGACCCCAATGCATCGGAAAGTACATGAAGAAATACCCCTCGCATATTCATCTGACTTGCATCATGCGAATGGCCATGCGCTCGTTTTACTTGAGGTGTCGAAGGTCTATAAGCTTCGTCATTTTCGTTATCGTCTGTGCCTACCAAAGTGCTTAATCTATTATGACTTCGAGATATACCATGCGAGTGACCATGAGCGCTTCCATGTTCTACAATAATTACACTTATAAGTATCTATCGATATATATAAAATAGGTTACTTTTATCTTATAAGATATATAACATAAAAATCGATTAATTAAATTAAATTTAATCTAAGAAATATTAACTGTATTTTAAATATGTTATGAAATACATTAAATATGACAGATTATTCAGTGTTTCATGAAAAATGCAATAAAATAATAAATTTTTCCTTTTAATAATCAACATTCATTTTTTGAAATTGAATGTTTTTCAAATATTCAATTTGACATCATTACAGTTTGACATCAATAAGATAACAGATATTGATACTTTTTTTCCTTAACACATTTTTAACATTTATATTATACCTCGGACATTGTTCTCTCTTTGCAATCTTGAGATATAAATCCAGCAATTTTACAAAAATTTTATTTCTGTCTTATATTTGCAAAAGGTTTGTATTTTAAATCTTGCTGCAATAATACATTTGTATCTAACCATGTACATTTCATAATCAATTTTATCTTAACTCAAAATAAAATCTTTCGAGCACTAATAATAAGATAACATCGTGACAGTATTGAACAAAAAATCTTATAGGCAAACAGCAATTTGAATATATAAATACTCTTATCCATAATCATAATTAAGTTATCATATGGTTAGATACGAAAGATGATAATTAAGATATAAAATACAAATAAAGTGCTTTATAAATATTATCTAACAGAAAGAGAAAGTGAAAATAGAAATTTCTAGATAAGTATTCTTCTATATATTCTTCTAAATATTAATATACGAATATATTTACGAATATATTTACGAATTTAATATAAACGAATTTAATATAAAGTTTCGATGTGTGATTTTACATTTCTATAATAATAGGACAATTTTAGAGAATTTTTAAAACAAGGATAAATACCTATACGTATAAATACCTATACGTCATATTTATTTATATACTTTAAATAGTTTAAATTTTATCGAAAACAAATAAAACTTGAGTTGTATGATACACGCTATACTCACCATGGAATAAACATAAACCTATCACATTCACTAGCAGACCAAGTCCCCCAACTGCGACCAACAGTTTAGCTTCATGTATCTCTTCTACCTCGATAAATCTTTTACATGCTTCCACAGTAATACTAAAACATAAAGCGACCAAGAACACGGCGTTCACTAGAGCTCCTAATACTTCAGCTCTGGCCCAGCCAAATGTGTTTTTGGACCATTTCTTCGGTGACATCTACAACATCAAAAATTGTTTGAAAGCAATCAACAATATTAAATATTGGCAATAAAATTTTTCAACAAGAGATCTATTTTTTAGCTGCTTTAGCTTTTTGTATCTTTTCTCTTTTTCTTTTTACGTTGGGCTACGTTTACATTATTACTCAAGTGCCATCCAAGTATTATTTTATACGTTTGTTGTTTACCCCTTGTTTTGATAAATAAGGATAATACAATAGGAATACTTGAGGAACATTTGAATGGGAATATAAATTTGTGAAGAGAAAAAGAGAAAAGATGAGCCGTGCAAAGAAGTTGAGTTAAAAAGAACAGATCTAAAATTAAAAACAAACTGCAGAACTTTACCTTCACCGAAAGAAATGCTACCACTAAAGCGGCTACGTCTGACAACATATGAAAACTATCTGCTATTAAAGCCATCGAGTTGGTGACATAACCAACTACAATTTCGACTAAAAAAAATAAAGCTGTCAGCCATAACATTGTCAAAAGACGACATTTTTTTCCTGTGTAACGACCCATGGTATCTGTATAGACCTGAAAACATCAGAAAAATAAGTGTTTGCAGAATACATCATGTGCATTGCCTCAAAATATTCTCCGCAAGAAGCTTCTAATAATACACACTTATTTTTATAACTCTTTGAATCTACAGACGCAAGTGTAAAGAACAACGTAACAAATTGAATAATTCATTACAACGCAAAAGAACAAAGAACAAATACATGTTACGTAAGAAATTATCTTTCTTGTCGACAAATATCGTAATGTCAAG